CATGGTAACACACATAAAAACAATTATACTGCCACCCACTATCACCATTAAACTAAACTTATTACAGTTATCCTACATATTCCTTATTCTGCATACATGGATTTAATGTGCCCAGTCTACAAGACAGCCTAGTGGAAAGCTGCTGGGATTGCAGTCATCCCTGCTCTGCACATGACGCCCGCCCAGCTCTGTCAATTTTCGGGTCCAATCCCTCTTCATATTGCTTGGTTAAGATAAAGCCACTGGGTAGTAAGATCTTGCAACTGCTGGGCCACTACATTCTGGTATGCTCCCAATGAAATAATTGGACTCACCCAGAACAGTTGCAGTAATAAGTCTCTAGAGTCAGTCTCCAGTGTCTAACACACCAACTTTTACTTCTGGATATGAGCCAGACTGCTCAGCACTTGAGGTTCTGAACACTGCCTGACCCTCTCTGATAAAAAATGGTGCAAATTACATCAAAAGCACCAGCCACTCAAAGGCACAGAGAAAGACCTTAAAAGTCATCTTCTAGTCACAACTTTGCAGACCCTGAGACAGGCCTGCCTCAGCTGCCCTCTCCAGAACCAGCGATACTCACTGGAGCCCAGTTCTCCAGACATTTCAATATTTGCTCTTGGTGCTAGGATTGGGCCTCATGCCATAGGGTGGCAAACAGTATTCCCTGTAAAATGGCTGCTTGTGTAGCCACTCAGAAGAAATGCAAATGTTGCCCAGCTGATTATCAGAGTGCCCACAGCTAGATTTTTGTTTGTTTGTTTCTATTGGCTGTTCTGCCAGCAGAGACAATATCCTTCCTTTCCATACTTAATCAAAAACAAAAGACAAAAAACAAAAAACAAAGGATGTGAGGTCCAGCAGCCCAGTCCCACCAGTTATCACTTCTGCCTCTCTCTTTTCTGTATCTTTTTCCATTTTCTCTCCCTTCCTGGGGCTAATCAATCACCTGTCCACATTCTCTACCAGTTGTAAACTACCTACTGGCCTGGGGGTTTCCAGGCGTCCAGTTTTCGCTCGCACAGTCCGGTATTTCTGGCCCCTGTATGGTAAAAACCCCCAGAAAATACCGGATTTTCTTCCCCTGCCTACTGGGGGTGGGGGAAACAAGGAGCACGGGGATTTTTAAAGGTGCAGTGATCTTTTTCCTTTTTAGCTCAACAACTTTGGCTCCCCATTTTTTGTTTGTTTGTTTGTTTGTTTTTGCTCAACCAATTTTTTTCCTGCCATGTTTGGGATTTTTTGTGAAAGTATCTGGCAACCCTACCTGTCTCCCCAGTCCAGGAAGGATTAAATGCCACAGCCAGCATCTACTCAGGCCCTTTCAAAGCACCATTGCTTTGTCCATAAATCCCACAGCTTTTGTTTCCCCCTGGTCCAGGGACTTCTTTGTCAGAGCCTCCCAGCTCCTTGTAGCTTTCCTTCAGGTCACCTATTGGGCACAAATCTACTTCCTGTATCTCCCCTCCTCAGCTACACTCACCCAGTCTTTATAAGAATCAGGTGCCCATCAGGCAGTCACCAGACCCCTTCAGAGCAAGCCCTTCTAGCAGGCCCAAGCACTCATTCTTAGAAGGGGTTCTGCCTCAGAATGAGACAGGCTTACCCAAAGACATTGGCAATTCAAGGAATGGGCCAGCCTGTTGCAGGTGAATTTGTGTGTATTTCACTGAGTCACAACAAAATCTGTCTTGCCAGGT